AGGTCTATCCGTAATGAACGTTTGCAGGAACCTCAACTTAGTCACCTAATCTTCATTTTATTTTTCATCTGTAGTTCTTAAAACAGCTTTGCTGGTTTATGGTAGACTGCGTTTATTGTACCTGTTCACAAAAGAAGCTTTCTTGTTGATGGTGTTACTAATCTTCCTGGATCTCTTCCTTCTGTTATCTATAAAGTTTTTTCGAAGGGTGAATTTACTATCTGTTTTCTCATTTGTCTAAACGCCTCTTTCTTCTAATAAACAATTTGGTTTTCATCCTAAATATGTAAATATATTTCGCTGATGCTTCAAAATTTTTTAACTGCTGCTAATTTCTGGAATACTAGCGTTAGGTGTGTCTCCTGATTTCTTTAAACTTTTGACTTTGTTTGTCTAACTTTTTAGTTGGAAAAAATATCTCGTTATGAATGAGTAGTGCGTGTTTAAAACACCATTAATTTCATTTCCAGTTGGTCTTCCTTTAACCTTATGTTTCTAAATGGGTATCCTCACGTTTCGTCCCATTTTTTTAAATTAGTGCTCGTTTCGTCTTCTCTCATTTTGTCCCATTCCCGTTTCATCTCTTATATTTTCTATTATTCGATTTATTTTATAACTATCTATTTCTTTCTATCAACTGTATACTAATCAATACTAATATAATCAATTAAAACAGCATAAGTTTCATTTACTATTTTATTTATAAGTTACACACAGTAAAAAAAAAGAATGCTCTTCAGAAAATATAAAACGTGTTTTTCATTTAAATGAGTTTTTTGAAAACATGCAAAGCTAAGTTTTTCGGAAAACGGAAGAATAAAAAATGAGTTCTTCAAGTTTTCAGTTTTCTATTTGGGACATTTGTTCTCCAGAGAACTCGAAGCGAAGAACACATTCTCCGTTATTTATTTTTTTGAAGAACTCATTTTTGAGCTCTTCAAATTTATAATTTTATGCCGTTTTGAATTGTTCTTCAGAAATTTTGCTGCTTGTTACACGTTGTATATTGTTATATTGGAAATTGAATCATAAAAAGCGAAATAGTGCATCTCGCCTCACTCTGATGTTGAATATTACAATTACTAAAAAGTAATCTAATTTTGATTTTTCCCTTACAGCTAAAACTACGAGAAAAGAATAATATAATAGACAGGGACGATCTCTAGCTCTGACGATTTTTACTGAGAAAACCTGCTCTGCTCTCTGAGTTTTGTCTGTTGGTTTGTGATCTCAATCAGAATAGTTCAACGAAAAGTGTTTTGAAGCGCGAAGCCTTAAACTTTTCTAAAACCAAAATACTTCCAGTCGGTGTGTAGAAAACGTTTTAGCTTTATATTACATTGTGCGTTTTTTCCGTGAAATCAGAGAAGTTCATAACATTTCTTGGCTATCCTGGTTGTGAACTCGACCGAAGGAAGACATGAGCATTTTCTTGAATTCAGAAATATTTTTGGACCTTTGGCGGATCTTCAGAAAACGTTTTAGATTCACATTAGATTACGAACCTTATACAAACAAATGAGAGAAAAATTCATAACATATTTTAGATAGGTCTCTAGAGAACGCCGACCAGAGAGAGACGTGAGCGCTGTCTTGAATTCAAAAGTCATGGAAGGTCGTTCGTAGAAATAAGTTCCTAAAGTCAAGGGGCAGAGTGAGTGCAGACGAGCGTTACCTTATGTTTATATGTCTACAATCCATCAGCCATTATCGAATTCTTGATCTCCATACACAAACACACAGTTGACTGGTTAAAATTTGAAAAAACCCACTATATTCTTTAAAGGAATGAAAAACGCGTTTTTTTCTACTGTACATGAAACAAGTAGTTTTACAGTACAGATTTTCACAGTTTTACAGTAAAGCTTTTCACAATAGATTAAAACAACATTTTCATGTGCATCCACATATTTATGAGTTCATCGATGCATTGAAGGAAGAGAATGAATATAATCATAGACAATACACAGACTCATTAACAAAAACAGTAAAACATAAGAAAATCAATGATAATTGTGATAATAAATTGCAGGGATATTTTAAAAGATATGATAGTGATGCTTTGTCTAAAAACTGAACTTGTAATTAAATGTGGCAAATGCGTTCATACTGTAAACCTACATGTTCCATGTAGCCTGCAAATAAAATAGTAAACGAAACTTATGTTGTTTTAATTAATTATATTAATATTGATTAGTATGTAGTTGATAGAAAGAAATAGATAGTTATAAAATAAACAGAGTAATAGAAAATATAAGGGCCGAAATGGGAATGGGCCAAAATGAGAGTAATTCTCTAAATGTTCTTCGTTTTTCTCCTAATTTCTTTCCGTTTGTTTATCATCAATCATATCATCAACAGAAAAATTAAGTTCATTTAGAGTAGCGAAAAAATGCTTTTTCGTATTCAGCACACTCGATAACCAAGAGTTTTTCTATTGTTGACAAGGGATGCTGCCAAAAGTTTAAGCAAATTTTTGAAACTAATATTATTTTCCTATGGAAAATGTTTTTCGCCATTTGGTTCGAATATTTTTCCTTAAAACTTTTGACAGTACCCCGTGCCAATAATAGAAAATTTCTGGGTTATCGAGTGTGCTGAATATGAAAAAGCACTTTTATGCTACTCTAAATGAACTTTATTTTTTTCTTCACGTTGACATGGATATCTAAATAAAGTTCCTCTATCTGCTGCTTCCATTATTCGCTGTTAAGTTGTTCTTGTTCCACATGATGAGGCAGAATGAACATACCGGAGAGATTGCTCTTTTTTGTCGGCGCAAGTCGGATGCATTTCGGCTGTGTTTTGGGTTTAGCTTCATCACAGATTCTCACAGAATTTTTTTTCATGTATTCTCTCAATAGTCTGTCGTATTACCACACCTTAGTGACAGTTCATTTTCTCTTTCTATTCTGACTTTTAGAAATAAATTTACTTCTCGTGTTATTTTTCAAATTTTGATTATTGTGTTTTCACCTCTTTACCAATGCCACAGCTTTCTCTTTGTTGTAGATAGATATTTTAGACTTGTAAACTTTTTTTAATCAAAATTTATCGCCTCAGTTCTCTTTCTATCTTTTTTACCTTATTCATCATCCACATTCTCTCTCTTGTCATTACTAAAAATAGGTTATTATTTCACTTCTTTTTAACGGTTTTTCTCAAAGAATTTTCTCTTCATTCTTTTATTCATCTATCACCGACCGAATCAAACTTTCAGAGCCGGTTATTTGTTTTTCTCCTCTGTCAAAGTAGCATTATTAAAATAGCTTTCACAGTAATTCTTTGCCATCTACTCAATTCATTCTATCTCGTTTCAGTTTTAATATTGTTTTTTATTTCTCATTCATATTTATTCTACTTTATTTACTCTATATGTTCTATCTGTTTCTATAGATTCATTACTGTTCATTGCTTCTGTTTCTATCGTGCGGTTTGAGTCATTGATCTTCAAGTCGAAGACCACTGATGACTCTCTTATTCTTTATGAGTAATAAATATCATCATCTTCTTGGATTTTTCACTAACGCCATTTAAATTTCACGTAATTTAGTCCTTTTGTGTAAGTCCATTTTGTCCATTGCGTTCGAGAAAGTTCTAAAGAACGTTAACGTTAAAGGAAAGAATTATTTTTTTAATTTACCTTGATGGGGTATGAATCATTCTTTTGTTAAAACGACGGAAATAGAAGTCACACCAGACGGCGTCATTTTTGTTTGTCCAAAAAAAGGAAATCTTTCTTTTCGCCTTCGATTGGCCAATTCACAATTTTTCCAATATATTGACATTCTTTGACTTTTTAATGCGTTTTATAAAACAAAGTATATTTAATATAATTGAAAAACATTTGCGTAAAAATCATGTTGCATAAAAAGCGAAAGCTTTTGATACTTCACAGTATCATCAGCAAGCTGATACACCTTTCTAAACACTTGTGTCGTTTTGAGAGAACTAAAAGAACTTTTTATGAAATTCCTACTCCTCATTCTGACTGACTTTAATTTTATATCGATATACTATATCAGCGTGATGTAGGATGAAAAATAGCACCATCATTATACTGATGCACTGATTCAACAACTTGTTCGACTTGTCAGAGTCGTTTCTCACGATACTCAAAGTCAAAATAGGTTCAAAATGGTAGTAGTTATTCTTCAAATCAACAACAATTTTTCACAGAAGTCGATGGGATTTCTCTAGTATAAGTTAGTTTCTTTTCATGAAAATTTGTATTATCCGGAATCTTGTCCTGCTCTTTTCACGATTTCTTGAATTTAAACGTTATTATATTTAAAGAGGGAAAAAATGTTGAAGTTTTTTCGAAATCTTTTTCCAAATACAACTACTTTCGATTGTAGTAGAAATCGTTAACTTGTGTACGTTGAAACAATTCTTTAAGAGGCAAAATGATTGTTACAAAACACAAAAAATTTAGCTAGCAAACGACATAATCTTTTAACATTATCCCAATTGACCTGACTGCTAAATCCAAAAGTTGAATAAAACTGCGTACATCAACATGACGAGGTCAAACAAATAGTCAAATTTTATTTGAAAACATTTATTTTCAATTTCCAAAAAATTGAAACTCAATGCGCATAAGTGTATACCGTTAGCAGCAAATAAAAAAAGAACGGGAAAAAACATCACCGTCAACAACAACAACGAGAAAAACAGCTACTTTAAAAAGAATACCTGAGCATGTTTTTTTGTGTTGATCTAATAGTACGATAGAATAGAAATAGACATAAATAAACGACACATTTAGTACACATACAAATATAACATAACATATATCATTCGTAATTTTTCAGAAGAGACTAAACAATCTTTTAAATTAAACAACAGCAACAACGACGATATATTTGAAACACAACAACAACAATAATAATAAATAGTTCACCGAGTATTAATGGTGGTAATAACCGCCAATGCATGCACGGATCTTTAATTAATAAAACAATTCTAAAATAGGGAAAAAAAATAGAAGAAAAAAGATTTTAAGTAATACATGGTTCTTCTTGATGAATGGTATTTGTCGATAATCTTAAACGTTTAACATCAGAATAGCAGCCACCAAATTGTTTTCGTTTTAAATAGCTCCTTAATGTTTTCAGTGTTGGATTGTGTTGTTGTTCTTGTGGTTCAGTAATCACCGGTACAATAATATCTGTATCACTTCCTGATGATAGAGAGCTTATGTTGTCACTATTACAAAACGTTTCGGACATCACCGGTTCTGATTCATCATTATTATTAATATTATCAGATTTGACATCCACCTCTTCCTCACAATCCATTAATACGTTATTATTCATATTTGTTGTTGTTGTTGTTGTTGTTGCTGCTGTCGTATGTACAATTTTAACTAATTCGTGAATTAAATCACAGTAATGTTCCCGAGCACGCCAAAATGCACCACGAACAAGTGTTGCACGACGTAATGATTCATTCGAACGTAGTTTATTAATCGATATTTGCATTACCCGTATACAACCAATAAGATCATTCATGTTTTTAATTAATAAATTAGTGAAAATATAAGGTTGTATCTGAAATAAAAATTTACAATAAATAAATAACTATAATTTGTAACCCGAATGCATTCTCGCCAACTTTGCACGATTTTTTTTAAAAGTTTTTTAACAGTTCTACAAGTACAATCCATTTCATTGGCGAATGGATAAATTTACTAAAGACAACAAACAAAGAGCGAAGTGATTCAGACTTCGATCAATTAAGTTCGATTGTCTGAAATATATGGACGACGGGTTCAACACAGTATATTGTTGCAAATTTTTCAACATTTGTATGTTTTTATTAATGACTATAACAAGCAGCAGTCCTGATTCTAATTGAAGTCAAATAGATTGATGAACGATGACCTTTAAAACGACGATCCGTTTTGCTACAAGAAAACAGTACGAAATGTAGTACAGTGGATGAATAATTTATTTATTTAGTGAACAGTTTTCAGAACTAATTCTTTAATTCGATAAATATTGACAAATCCAGAACGACTATTTTCAAACACTCGTTGAAATAGTGAAGCAATGAAGATAGATATTCTTAAAATGTGAAACTTATTTCATATCGTTGGGAAATACATACATGACATTTAATGGGATTAGAAGATGAGATCGTATAATAATTAATTAGAGAAAATAAGTTAACATCATCAATACCGTGTCTTTTCTTTAACAACAGTTGTTTGAACATGAACATCTAAATGTTGAGAACCAAGTAATTCTCAATTTCATTCAGACGCATTAAAAAAAAATGTTTTCGCGAAAAACAGTGTCAAACGGTTTATCTGTTTATATACCCCGTATGTAAAAGAGAACGAAACAAATGCGAGAATACAGAAAGAAAAGAAAATGCAAGATGCAGAAAATGACGCATGACGTAATCTAGCACTGAGATGTGTATACAGTTGTAAATGTTACACACTTTTTCTTCTCGTTCTGATGTGACAAAAAAATATGTAGACTAGTAATGTAAGGTCAAAGCAACTGTACAACATTTTTATCCAAATATTTATATTAGGTCTAGTTCGTTTTTTTTAAACTTACATACACCTATACTATTGATGATACATGGAAAACCGATTTTCTGAATTACGATGTGCTATAGGGCAGAAAAACAACAAAGAAAATGCTATTATTATTATTTATTTATGAGAATAAAAATTGTGGAAATTAAATTTAAATTATCACGTCATTACACATTTTGTGTGTAACAAGAAAAAGCAGAAGAGAAGATTAATTTGTGTAATTTGTGAGAAAAATGATGAATAATTTCGTTGCTTAGAATAACAAATGAGCTGATAAACAGATAAAGTTTTCAAAAACACGCTTCTCCTGTTTGATAAGTAAACAGTATCTTACAAGGAAATCAATTAATTCAATAGAATTCTCAGATACAAAACTAGAATACAAGAAAATATAATGCAATACTAGTTCATCTATAAACTACGTTAAACGATAAAATGGTTCAAGTAATATTGGCATACTTTCTATCTTGTCAGAAATGGTCGATTTTGTTCCTTTTTCCTGAAGAAAATGAACGAATTCTAGATATAAGTTCTAATAATGAGCTACGGATATAAAACATCCTACATACTCACATTTTACCAATTGTAATCTTTAACAACAAAAATAAGTTTATACAAAACAATTCTCTGAAGTCTGTATGCTATTACATTAGAAAAATTTCTTAACAGACAAGCATGAACTTCACATCTATCGACATTCTATTTTTTCCTTTAATCTATCAATCTTTTCTTCTTATGTGTATTTTTACAATTGTCGTCATAATGTACGTTTATTAGAATCAAAATATTTTTTTCTCTTCTCTCTTTTTTCAATTTGATCGAACTTCACCCACCCCCGAACATGCACTTTTCTTTCTGGTTGATTCATCTATTTTTCTCAAATTGGCTTGACGCCAAAAAACATTTTCTTTTCTTTTTCCACTGTAATTAATATATGTTTGTTTTATTAGTCTAATACAAATATAGCATCTAAATTCAATGCCAAAAAAAAGAGAAACACATTTGTTACATTTACATCTATGCATGATAGTCATTCATCAACGAGTCTAACAAAAGAAGTTGGTTTTTAAACAGTTGGCAAAAATCTATTACGAAATAAATAAAAAGAAAAATTCCTTATATATAAAAAGTAGAAATATAAATTATAAATATCTGCACAACTAGTAAAAAAAGGGGTTTCGCAAATCGACTAAATAACCTGACTTAATACAATACCGTATTTTAATAAGTATTTGTTTTTCTTTCGATAAAAAAAAAAAATTGAGATAAAAAACAAATTCTCAAAGGATTCATTAATAAAGAAAATTCCCTAGTCACATCTGTATTTTATCTATCTATTGTGTACGAAAGACAATATACCACCGTTTGCTCACCAATTCGAAATAAGAAAATCTCATTGTCTGTGACTAGCACTCTTGAGAGAGATCAACCCTAATGTTAGTCAATTATTTTCATTTAGGGCATGCATTGTTCAGTTTTTCTAATCTTGCCTTCTTATTTGTATCAAGTGATTTAACAGTAATGACTTTTATAGTCTATAGACTTATCAAAATTTTATACAAAATATTGCTCTGCATAGTTCTATGAAGAGACAAAAGTGTTAATTCCAGTTATTTATCGATTAATCAAAAAAGCTGGGTATTTTATATAGAAAATGCTTTTTTCAACGAAGTGTTCGTCATATAAATTGAACTGAAGTTGAAAATGTTTTTTAATAATAAATTGGCATAGTTATATGATAGGAAAAATGAAATTTTAACAAGACAAACATGGTTATAACTAATAACTACAAGAGGCTAACTTGTGTGATATAGAAGTTAATGCTAAGAGACTATCGCAATAAGATAATCAACGTTTATTATTCCGTATTTCATACTAAATTTTCATCTTTCATCTGTTAACAGCTTACACAATTGATACACTTTTTGGATAAAGCCAATAGAATAGTTACAAATAGCTGTACCTATTTAAATCTTCAAAATGTCATTTTCATCTAAAGTCAAACATCAAATATTATTATAGTCTCACAAGTTTATATCTCACAACACTAGACGATTTCTTCCTTTTTTTCTCTCCTCTGGTGATAATGATAGCTATATCTAAATCTTTTGACTAACATACAATAACGGCGATCAGATACACATGTTTATATGTTTTATTTAATTGTTTTCTTTTTATGTTAGTCTAATTTCGTTTAGAAAAAGATTTTGGACGGACATTTATTCTGCCTGCTGTTCATCATTACAAGAGAAACGTTCTCATTTGAGTGCATGCTTGAATAAATATAATGACTTACTCCGATGTTAAAAATATAATAATACTTGTTTCAATCATAAAGCAAAACGCAAGAATAAATTATACGCGAACCCCCTTCGTCTTTTTTTAGATTGATTTCACGGAGCGCATTATTGTGTGTTCTTATCAGACTCTTATTCTCCATTCATTTTTTTTTTTTTATAGATATTTATACATCATCGTCATCGTCGTCGTTGGGTAGGAAATAAATAATAAGGGTGAAAGAATACATAATAGGTCACTATTGTCTGATGTATTTTAGACACGCAAACGTGCAATCAAACCTTAATTATGCAAACATACGGACCTGGGTAGTTCAATTCTTTTTTCTTTACCGATATAGATATTAATATCTTTGACACCAACAGGATGTTCAATTTAAATCAAACATAATAGCATCACAAAATAAAAATCTTCTCTTGCAACTGATCTATGAATCTTATAACTGCAAGCAGTTCCTGAATCTTGTGGGGAGGGGGATGAAGAGATAAATTCTTTTTCTTATGAAAAAACTAATAAAAAGACAATTTCTGTTCATTATCTAAGTCATAGAGACCAGTGATATTTGAAATTTATGTTAACAATTTTCAGTGGATTTGATACAAGAGATACGATTCGTTGAAGAATGAAGCAGATTTATTAATAGTTGATTGGAATTCTCGGTTCTAATAGAGAAACGCTCATTCATCTAATCGAAGTAACAACGATTAATCTCTTTTTATCCTATGTTTATACTATATACGAGTGAAAAAACAAAAATTCGAAAATCATTATATTTCGTTTTCTTTACCTAATGAAGTGCTAAAAAAGCGACACGACATTCTGCTGGTGGTGTTAAGTTTGTCAAGTTTATCTTTTGTAATTTTTTTTCTCTAATGTAGACCTTCATGTATCTATAAGATACAAGTGATCATGAGAGAGGCAAACACAACTAAAGTTTATTCGATCTCAAGCGTTAAATGTCAATATATTTATCTGACAAAGCCTCAATATTATATTTACAAATATTTAACATCGCCGTCATACAACAATTAGACTCATTTAAGTTAAACTGAAATGATAACATTTTAAATAGAGAGAGCATTTGGGCTTAACGAGATGTGGAGGTCGAATGTTTGAGAATTTCAATGAATAAAATAATTTGAGTATTCAAAAAAAACAAATTAATACTGGAAAAAGTCGAAAATGTTTTTAAGATTTAATCAGCACATATTAAACCACGATTTAAACTCGATCATTAAAAAAAGACTTCAAAATCTTTTTTCTATTTTAAATATTTGAATTCCTAAAGAAAATTTTTGCAGATTAAAGTATATATAAGAAACTTACATAAGGTCTCAAAACATGTGTAGAACGAAAACTAGAGGATGTTATCTGTCAGCTATATTTGTGTTTATCAAAAAGAGAAAAGATCGATTGTGAATATAAGAAAAAGAGCGGTATCTTTACACACGTTCATACATTATGAACCATATCTCTACATATTATATACACAAATAATTTTGATTGAAAACAGATGGTAAATGCCAGTGCTTTATTCTATTTGCCGACGTAATGGAAATAAGAAGAAAGAGCTTTATATTTGCGACAATGATCGGATTTTTGATCATAACAGAACAACATAACATATTCTAG